GAATGTATAAACATTCAGTGTAATCCAGCATTCTCTTATCTTTTACACCCAGTGAAAGACAGGGTTTTTTTGAACCTCAAGTTACTCAGAGATCTAGTCTTAACACTTCACCATTTTGCCTCATATATTTACAGTAAGTTCACAAATGAAGGTGGGTGTGACTGGCTTAAAAGTTGAAAGTTAAAATTAAGGGACTGACAAACTAATTTTCTTTTATGTTATGTAATAGAATGGAGTTATTCTCTTTTTATCCTTTCATAAAAGGGTGATATGATGGAAATTTTTACTCTAAAACCCTAGGCAGATTTACTCTTGTCATTAGTTCAAAGTGATCCCAGGCAAGTTGAAATATTTTTGGTTAGTCTGAATGAATCGGAGTCCAAAAAATGTAGTACTGTCTAAGGTAAAAGGGGTGGGCTTAAGAATCGGACAGGTTTGGTTTGGGTCATTGTTAACCGTTTATTCTCCAATAGTTAATATATAATGTAAAGATAATAAAGCCATGTATTCCATAGGACAATTATGGTTTTAAATTTCAGTTATGGTTTTAGATTTCAGGCACTTAGCATGGAGCTTTGCACAGAGAACAACCAAACTGTATCAACAGCATTGCATTTTCTTTTCTTTTTTTGGGCCTGTGACTTGCAGTGGGTCCTGTCAGTTACAGCAGAGGGCCCGATTCTCTGACCAGCCCCATGCCTGTCTATTCCTTTGAAGTTAGAGCTGAGGGAGAAAGTGCCACCTCGTCCCGAGGGAACCATTTCTCATATGTCTCTGACGCCTCATACAAGTGTCTGTGGAAGCTAAGGGACTTTTTTTTTTCTTCTTCTTCTTTTTTTTTCTAGGATCTCCCACTGAGTTCAAAGGCTTCTCCTTCCAAAGAATATGAGCAATCGTCACCGTTTATGATGTCATATTTGCTGTAATGCTTTGTTGTAGTTGCTGAAATGTTCACAGCCTCTGTTATTGCTTAGATCTTAAAACAATTACAAGGGAAGTCAAATTCCATTCTCCAGTAAAATGCAGAACTAGGATCAGTCCCATTGTGCAATAAAAACATGAAAAGTTTGAAAACCACATCTATCTTTAGATGATTAAGTTTACAAAGCCAATCCAGATTCTTTGATTTGACTGGACCCCTATCCTGATATATTTAAAATAAGCTAAATTAGCAACATTTTAATCTCTTCATATCTTTGCCATGGATTTTTCAATTTGCATTCAAACACAATATTAATGATAATATTGCCTCAAATCCAAAATGCTTGTGTGTGTTTTTTTTTCATTTTTTCACTCTGGAAATTGGGATATCTTATGATTAATATGTAAAATTATGTTGTTGTGGTTCTTTTCCATAAAAACTGACCCTACACCAGTAGAAGATCTTTAGAGTGATGGAATCTTAGACTTAGGAAAATATGGAGTTCATATTTTGCTTTGTGTTGATATTACCTAAGGTGGCATTTCTCTTACTTTGTGGTAACTTAATTATTGGTAAAAGAAACAAGTTTAATACATATGAAAGATAATCCAAAGGCTTCATTAAGATTTTTGGTACACATGTATTGTAGGTCAAACAGCCATTACTCTAGTTAATAGCTGGTCTTTTTAACGTTTCGACATTGCTTTAAAAGTACCACAGATTTCCTCAAATATGATAGGAAATACCTTATTTGTAATAACAAGATTCCAAGGAGAGAAAAAGCCTCCCCAGCCAGTTTCCAGAAACCCCTTTCCTCACTCTCAGGGCACCTTTTTCTTCTGAGGGTCCCTGTGAAAGCTAGGGTGGCAGCCATACCTGTCACCTGTCATTATCATGTGGTACAACACACCATTCAAAACCTGACATACATCCAGCACAGTGCTGGGTACACAGTTTTTCAATAAACTTCTTCTGGCCCACTGATGTGAAATACAAAACTGTTCTAGTTAGGCATATATACAGCTTTTAACACTGGAAAAACTCAATTTTCTAAAAATGTTCTCTTTTCCTTTTCTCTCCTTTCCCCACCTTTTTCCTACCAAAAATCCTGTGAGTTAGTTTTGGACTAACTTTTACAAAATTAAAAGTCACCAATAAATCAAATCCTTAAATGTTCTTTTTCCCTTGAAATATAAAAAGTGGTGTTTATTTTATTATTATTTTTTTTTCTGTTTGTTGGTTTTTTTCCATCTTAGTAGCAAACACAAAAATCACCACACTTAAAGGTAGAACACCACTTTCAAAAAACATTTGATCTACCCAGTCTGTGTGGCTCAGTGACTGACCAAGGAACCAATAGGTCTCAAATTTGATTCCCAGTCAGGGCATAGTGGTTGCGGCTCTATCCCCAGTAAGGGCCATGATGTTCATGCCGGTCAATGACGTTCCTTTCTTGTAGATGTTTTTATCTGTTTATCTCTCTCTAAAAGACAATAACAACATACTTAAAAAAAAAACAACCCACATTTGATCAGAGATGGGAAACTCAATGGTAAAGTTAATAGAAATGAGTGAAATGTAATGTTAAAAGCTGACGATGTGAAACACTGATCAAGACCAATTAAGAAATTACTGATAACCATTTTCTTTAGGAACACTGATGACCCTTAGCAACTAGGTGACAAGTTGGTTTGCAAATATTTCAGTCAATTAAATTAAAAACAATAACTCTTATGAAATGGGGAAGAAAAAACTGTAAGGAAAAAAAAAAGAGGAAAAGAAAGAGAAGAAAGGAGGAAGGGGATTTGTCCTAAAATATTTAATCCAAATTAAAAAAAAAAAATCTTGCTCTCTAAAACACTTTATATTCCAAAATAGGAATTCTTTAAATGCTGACATTGCAATAGGCACAGATCAACTATTAAATAATAAAAATCATTTTTATGCCAGCGGCCCACAAGTCGTGATTAAAAAGCAAACTTCAAATGCTACTAAATCCATTTTCTTATTTGCTACCTAATTCCATCAGAGCTAACAGAAAACTTAATAACCAGAGAGCCTCACAGAGGTGGAACATGGTGATCTGTTTTTGCTCATTTTTTTTTTTACCCACTTCCAGACAGAAGAAATTAGATAAACTAAACGCTTGATTTTTTAAAACTAAAAGCCTTCCACTTGTTCCTTTAGCTTTGAGCATAAGTGAAATGCATAATAAGACCATTCTTTCTTAATTTTTCATACATTTGGCCCAATAGCTTTGGGAATGGTCTCTTTCTGGTTTGATTGAAGGGGGGGATATCTGAATAATCCCTAGAGCATCAAAGAAATTGGCATTGAGGTGGACAGAGAGGATTCATCACCAGGAGGCATATATACGCCCTTCATGTATGCATGTGATTTTAAAAAACACTACAAATGTTTTTGAGTGATAAAATGTATGACACATGCTAGCGTATTGTATTACCCTATGTCCGGTATACTACATGTTATTTAGAGTTCTTGTATTTGCACTTTTCTGAGAACCATGGTTAAGAATAAAAGGCAGAGGAAACTGATCACTTCCTGTCTCTCAATAATGTCTTACTCACCTATGCTTAATTGATTTACAAGCTCAGATAAAAACTAATTTCAAGAAAGCTGTGAAAGAGCAAAAGAAAAGCCCTGGCTTAATTAGTTAGTGAAGGAAGGCCTTGCTTGAAATTCATATCAACTTCACATTCTGCAAAGCAACTCATCCACATAAAAATTATAGTCAAAAAGGACTTCATTTAATTAGTGATATGTAGACTTTTGCATAGAAAAAGGTTACAAAGTAATGCAAAAAAGGACTAGGTACAGTAATTTTAAAACAAATATTTAAAAGTATAATTTTGCATAATGTTTAACATTCTTCTTTATTGCTTTCTCCACACAGCAGAGAAATGAAGTGCATAATAATACATGCTGTGTCTTTATCTTTCAAACATAAAATCTCATGTGCTCAATTTCAATGTAGTAAGAGATTATTTTGTCATTAAACAAAATAAAAAACAAAACAAAACGAAACCAAAACACCATTACGTAGCACTAGTCTAGGCATGGACAAACTAATTTATGTACATCCCATTGCATACATTCATCTTGATTTGGGGTCAAACGCAATCTTGAGCTTGACAAAGAGCGTTTAAAAATCGTGGCTTTCTGTTCCAAATGCTACCTATCTAGCTCCCTGTCTCATCCCCTCCAGAAATGCTACTTCTCCCAACAGGATGGCAAGGACAGAACACGTCATCGGGACAAAATGACGAGGATACATGTGAGAAAATGGTCCAAATGAAACTGAATAAATTAGGCTACACTTTTACAAACTTGGGAGTTTTCAAGTTGGCATGAATCAGCTTAGCCTCCGGCGGGCACACAGTAGGTAACTGCTCCTGGGTGTACTCTGTAGACGCATGGTTTCTATAAGAAGCACCATATTCTGAGCCATGAAAGAAACAGGTGCCTGGGGGTTTGCAGACAAGGCAGGACGCTTGCTAATCTGGGCACTGAGGGAGTAATTGCCGATACCAGTGTATTGCTGCGCGTCACCACTTGGCAAGTCTGTACAAAGAAAGCAAACTGAGATAAAACTAGGTCTTTCAACCCGAAACTTATTTTCAGCAATCCTTTTGGCCAACAAAAACCTGCTGGTGCCAAGAGGATACTCTTCTCTGGCATTTGTATCTCTGCAGCCTAACGCAAGCCTGCGGTCCCTTTCCCTGCTTAACCTCACGTCTACACTCGTCACTCATGTGCAATGTCCCATGCTCAGAACAAAACGTCACTAGCTCAGGCACTTGTGAAACACGGCTATTTCTCCCTCCCCCTCTCCCCCTTTTCCCATCTAGTTTCAAGAGAATTCAGACAGGGCCTCTTCCTTCTCCAATGTAGAGATACCGATGCAAGGCTGAATGGCACGGTCTTTTTTTTTCTTCTTTCTTTCTTTCTGGGACAATTCTACATGGAAGCAGGTGTGCAGTTCTCCAAAGCTGCTGACGTCAGGGACCAAGCAACAACCACAGGGTGGGGGGGGGGGGGGGGAAGAAAACAAATGGGTAATACCACATTTCCACGTGTGAGGGGTGTGTGCCTCATATAGCTTTATTCTTCCTGGCTGGATCTGCAGACACCTATCCGTCTGTCTGGCTGCCTTCAGGGTGCAGATGCTGCCATGCAGCCCTTTCCGTTATCAGCGCGACAAGTTCAAGGGCACCCTAAAAGGCGCCCACCTCTGTCCCCCAGGGCCGGTAAGGTTTACTGTTTGTGCCGCCGCCGGTCTGCTGGGGGCTGGCGGCGGCGGACACGGCCAGGGGCGGGCTGATGGCGGCGGCGGCGGCCACGGCGGCGGCCGCGGCGTTGGGGGGCAGCATGGGGAAGGCGCCCGCGAAGGTCAGCGGGAAGCTGTGCGCCGCGGCGGTGGCGGCGGCGGCGGCCGCGTGGACGGTGGCGGACAGCGACAGCAGCGAGGTGGACAGCGGCGGCACGCAGGGCGCCACGCTGCCCGCCGCGGGCATCCGCAGCGCCGAGTCGGCGTGGGCGAAGGTGGCGGTGAGGAGCGCGGAGCCGTGCGCGGGGGGCGCGTCCGGGGCGGCCAGGCGGCAGGGCGCGGGCTCGGCGGGCTGCAGCAGCGCGGCGGGCAGCGGGTGGAAGGCGGCCGCCCAGTGGTGCGGGTGCAGCGGGTGCGGGTGCGGGTGCGGGTGGTGCGCCAGGGAGGAGGTCATGGCCGCGGCTTCGCGCTGCGAGGCGCACGTGCTCAGGTGCGAGACCAGCCGCGCCCGCAGCGGGTCCGCCGAGTCCAGGCCCTCCACGGAGCTCAGGTACCGGGCCACCTCTGTCAGGCACTCGCGGAAGCCGATGCTCATGAAGTCCATGGCCAGCGCGTGGGCATCGAAGTAGCCTAGGAGGAGGTTTGAGCAAAAGTGGGGGCCAGGAGAGAGAGAGAGAGAGAGAGAGAGAGAGAGAGAGAGAGAGAGAGAGAGAGAGAGAGAGAGAGAGAGAGGAGAAAGAGATCCAGTTACTAAGGAGGCCTACCAACCAGGTTCCACTCTGTCTTTGAGAAGATTGAAGCAGAACCACAATCCTTTCTGACAACATTGCCAGCTAGTTATAGCTGCTATTTGTGCAGAAGTCAAGAGAGTGTTAGAAAGTACGCTCTGCAGTTCACAGGCATTGTGACAACCCTGGCATTGCTAGGTGCTACAGCTGTTCTCGCAATGAAACTTCACAGTGTGTGTGTGTGGGGGGGGGGGGGGGGGGGACGAGATTAAGAACGTGCATGTTTCGCCGAAACCGGTTTGACTCAGTGGATAGAGCCTCTGCCTGTGGACTGAGAGGTCCCGGGTTCGATTCTGGTCAAGGGCATGTACCTTGGTTGAGGGCACATCCCCAGTGGTGGGGGTGCAGGAGGCAGCTGATCAATGTTTCTCTCTCATCACTGTTTCTAACTCTCTATCCATCTCCCTTCCTCTCTGTAAAATATCAATAAAATATATTAAAAAAAAAAAAAAGAACATGCATGTTTCACATACTTCCAGGGGGAAAAAGTGGTGTTTTTCCTTCTGTACTGTGGACCAGTGAAATTCCCTAGTCGAATTTCTTCACGGTGATACAGAGTTCCAGGCTCCGTCTCTGTCACATGAGCAATAAAGGGTTTTTCTGAAACATCTACACTCTCTGGGCAGCGGCTTGGGGACTTTCGAATAAAGGACTTTTCTTGCCCCATCACTTACTGTATCTTAAATTTAAAAAAAAAATGATTCTTGACTCTCAGTGGCTATTTTTAAATCAATAAAATGAAAACATGTTGTCATTACTTGGTATGAAAAAAATCCAATAAAAACAAAATGTTTCATTTATCATCTACTCATTATTAGACTATCTTATTCTGTATCTCAAGCTCTTTGGCAAATAGTAGTCATAATATTCAAAAGTCCTAAAGCTAGAATTCTAACTGAAATTTGGAAGTCCCCCCCAAAAAAACACACATCTGGAACAAAAAAATACCCTATTGGAACAGTAACAACAGCACAAAGCTGATATAAGACTGCATCATGGAAAGGGGAAGATGAGGACTTAGGCAGAGTTAGCAACAAAGACCCTGGGATTAGAAGGAAAAGCTCTCCCTCAAGGAGCCGCCTCCATGAAACAGATTCCACGGGAGCATCCTCAGGTTCTCTGTGGGCCTTTGCAGACTCCGTCTCCCATGTGAGAAGAGGCAGGAGGTGATCATCAGTGTAGACCGAGTTCAGAAATCCAGAGGGATTTAGAAATGTAGGTTACTCTACTAAATCCTGTCTAAAAAGTGTGGCAAGATCAAGGTAGACTGTAAAAAAAAAAAAAATGAACCACCAGAATGTAACCCTCTGAGCTTCCAAGAATTTTCATGAACAGGCATGAAATAATTTGAAATTTGTGGCTTGCCAGCTACAGGTTGCTGTATATCATTGAGTTCTCTGTTGCATCTTAAGGAATAGAAATTATGCTAACTTCTATCCGTCAGGGAAATGATGATGAACAGCTGTCTCCTATGAATGAATCTTGGGCCAAAAATTACAGCACAGCACAGTACATAGCTCTGTACAACATCACCTGTGCCACCACTGCTCTACAGCTTTAAGTGGGCAGACTCACACCCTTGTGAAGTGGACACCAGCACTGTTCTCACTTTGCAGATGAGGAAAATGGGGCTCAGAGACTCAGAGAGGGTTAGTAATTTACCAAGCATCACAGAGCAACTACCTGACAGTGCCAGGATTTGAAAACGGGCAACCCAACTACAGAGTCCATGCTTTAAGACCATGGTTGGCAAACTGCGGCTCGCGAGCCACATGTGGCTCTTTGGCCCCTTGAGTGTGGCTCTTCCACAAAATACTAGGGCCGGGGCGAGTCTATTTTGAAGAAGTGGCATTAGAAGAAGTTTAAGTTTTAAAAATTTGGCTCTCAAAAGAAATTTTAATCGTTGTACTGCTGATACTTGGCTCTATTGACTAATGAGTTTGCCGGCCACTGCTCTACGACATCAGCACACTATGAGGCCCTGATAGCAGTTGTGGGCCTTGGGTGATATAAGCCCACACGGCCAGCCCCCCTTCTTCAAGGTCCACGTACTCTTCAGCGTGGTGACCTGTTTAAGGACCTGGCAGTCAGGCCACTTGTATGTGCTTGCTTGGAAATGTGTGTTCCTGCTCTATTCTGGTTTGAATTTTAGGACTGTTCAGGTAGCCAAGAATAGCAACCAAGACTCAACTTAATTTTGATAGTAAGGCATAAGAACAATATTATTCTTTACAAGTACGTAGCTCAGGCCAAATATTTGGAATGTTGATAAGAATTCTCAGTCTTGTGGTTAACGATGCCCAGGGAGGCAGAGCAAACAAACAACTTCTCTTGCACCACCACTAACGCCATTGGTGCAGATGGGAACGTGGGGCTGGGGGGGGCCTTAGCGCTCAGAGCACTAGTGTAGGCCTCACAGTGCAACAGAGCACTTTTCTGTGTTCGGTCACAGGGGAGGCAGTGGCCAACCTGGGCTGGATCCTCAGCTCTTAAGATTTCATCCATTCTCTTCTCCATTATGTAAGCCTGTTTGCATCCTATACTTAGGGTTACATTTTAATGAACAGGAATTTAAAAATTCATTCAGAATGGTTCCTTGAGAAGGTGAAACCAAGGGTAAGTCACACCATATGGGCTTCTTTGTACAATGATCGGCCTCCCTGACACACAAACATAGAAACAAAGCCATGAGATTAGAGGCAATCTTTCCCTTCCCCCAAACTTCCGTTAGATCACAGCTAGAACTCTGTGTAATGCAGCTGTCCCAAAGGAAGTGGCTCTAGAATTGCTCTCGTGTTGTTTTCAGATTTTGGTTGGTCTTGGATTTAGAGGTGATGGCCAGGACTGTGTCCCATGGGTCCTCATCAGTATGGCCATAGTGGAGTTAAATACCGAACTACTTCCGTACCAACTGGTAAACAGTGACTTGTCTCCAATGCCCTTTTCCTGCCTTCATCTAGGGCAAACTATGACACTACATAGTACAAGGCTGATGAAAAGCACCGAGAAGCTTCTAGAGTAGAGGTGCAGCAGCACTTAGCCCCTTGTGGTGTCTTGTATTTATCCAGTTGTCAAATATATTAAACTAGTGACCAGATGCACACATTTGTACACATTAAAAAGAAATTAATTAGAAGGTGGCCAGCAGGGCGGGACCTGGGCGAGATGTGCCAGATACAACCTGGAGCCAACCCATACGGTTCTTCCCTGGCATCTTCAGAGTGTGTGGGTCTCTCGGCAGGTGGGATCCCATAGCCTGGCCTGTGGGGATCAGGTCAAAACCAGCTCTCTGACATCCCCTGAGGTTTCCCCAAGTGTGAGAGGGCACTCTGCATAGTTGCTGTCCTACAGAGTGTGGAATGCAAAAGCAAGTGTGCAGCAAATCAGATTCAGGGCCCGACAGTACCCCAGCAACAACAGAGCCCACAGCCGAAGTTGGAACTGCGTGGCCCTATGAGGAATCGGGCTCCCTCCTCTCTGGTTTCGGAGTGCATCATCTGAGAACCCTTGCTGCCAAGTCACTGCAGCTCAGCAGCTCCTGCATTGAGCATATGCCCCCTGGTGGTCAGTATGCATCATAGCAACCATTCTGTTGGTTTATATACATTTATAGATAACATCCTTGGCTAAGATGAATACCAAAGGTTTGTTTGAAGGGTGAAAAAGATACAAAAGGGTGAAATCCAGTCTAAGCGAGAATAGGGATGATGAAATCTGAATGAACATTACAGCTTTCCATCTCAAGTGTACTTTTAGCATGAAATAAGGGCCTGTCCCTGACCCACTAAACAATTCTTCCCCAAATCACTATGGAACACAGAGGACATCTCTCTAGGGAACCTGCTCCTGTTTGCTCTGGTTAGGAACGACTCTCCCATTAACGGTTTCCAGTACAGATTCACTACCTGCACTTCAGATGCTCTGTCTGGTCTGAATCCAAAACCAAGCAAAATCTGAAAACAATGAGAGTAATTCTAGAGTCACTTCCTTTGGAACAGCCGCATTACACTGAGTTCCAGCTCTGATTTAAGGGGGGCTTTGGGGAAAGAGAAAGAAGAAAAAGAGAAAAGATTGCCTTTAACCTCCTGTTTATGTTTGTGTGTTTGTTTTGTCTTTCTGTGCAGATTCCAGCATGTGCTTCTGAAGTCCCAAACAAATCTCTGACCAGGCTGCTGTGAATGAAGCTTTACTCCCACAGTATTATGAAAGCAAACACAAGCCCAGGGTCAAGTGTTTCTTTTGTTCCAGAAGTTCTTTCCCACGAGTTCAATCCTGCCATTAGCATTGATTTCCACAGCTTTAATCTGCGACCTCCTATCTCAGCTTGTTAAAGAGCCATTCGACTATGACTTCCTTACAATCTTGGGGAGGGGAAGGGAGGGGGGGGGGAGAGGTGGAAAAAAGAGGTGGAAGGGGGTGGGGAAAACGAAGTCACCTACTTACCTTTACCCCCTGTTGCCTGAAGCATCTTCAAATGATCCACTGTCATTTGTAATATTTCAGCTTTTTCTAACTTTGCAGATCCCTGCATAAACAAGTAATAAAGTCTTATAAGTTCTATGGAAACAAAATTTGGGATATTTTATACTGGATTTTCAATTTTCCTTCTCACTAGGAAATTCTATGTTTAATTTTTTTTTTTCACAGAAAAATCTGAATCCCTTCCAAACTTTAAATGAAAACTCTAATTACTATGTCACACCCAATGACAGATAGTTGCCATTTCAACCTTTAAAGGTTAAAAGATATAATATTTTTATCATAAGAGTAACTATACTCCCCAATATTACTCTACCAAAATTACAATTGCGAAAATCTTAAACTTTGCATCCAATCAGTTCCTTATCAATATATACTTGATATTTTTACTTTGCTTGTTAATAAAAGTATATTTTATTTCATTATCTAATTATATAAAACATTCAGTAGTCCTATATAATACTCAAATCTAGATCAGTTGAATACAACTCTGGAGGATAAGAAAATAGAATCTCAAATTACTGTTGAACCCTGACATGGTGACTTTGAATAATTATTTGGTCTTGGTATTTTTCATTATACCAAATATTATTGGTATTAAAGAAGACATATGGTAGGATAATTTGCAATATTTACTCTCTGAAAGTGCCTGCCACATTTTAGAAGATTTACAGTTTCCAAATATTCAACATTCTTGGTTATATAATGGACATATCTCTTTTAATGATCTTCTAACATTTTAAAATAAAATATCTTTACTTTCTAGCTAGAAAAATAAGATAAAATAAAAATAAAAAATTCTAATAAGTCTTTAATTCATACTAGACCACGGGTAAGCAGAACCAAAAATAAAAAAGGGAAGACTCTTAATATGTTTTCCAGTCTTTACCAGCAGGTGTCACTGTGAATTCCAAGATCATAAATAAGCAAGCTTAATTTACTACTTATCCAGTAAACATCAGCAACGTGTAAGGATATTTAAACCCTTTAAAATAGTTCTTAATAAAATTGTCTTTGAAATGTATTTTTATGTCCCCACTTTTTAAAATAAGGCAACTTCTGGAAACCAAATGAAAAAAAGTGCCACCTCAAACTGTCTCAGATTGCCGTGGGTGGCTTCTAATTTCCTGGAAGAGCTAAATAATTAAATCAATATGTCTTTTTCAGAAAAGGAAATAGAAGTTTATTTCAGGTTCCTATGCATTACTTGTGAAAATTAGCAGCTCAATGCCAGTTATTCAAACTGCTTGAATAAATACCCTTCTAATCATATTGTGACAGGGCCAGCTCACTAGGGTTGGTAGCCAAGCTCAGCAAATGGGAAAGTCTGTGTTTATGGTAACTAGTTGCCAAACAACTGAAGTTTTCTTTTAAGACTTGTCTTAAGTTGATATTTAAGAAAAGAAAGAAAAAGAACAACAAAAACCACACCAAACTGATGGCTCCTCATAGCAGGATATTTCAGTACTCAAAGTAAAAATCTCTCTAAATAATATTTTCATTTTCAGCCTACTGCTACTAATCAAAACTATAGTTTTCACATTACATTTGCCTAATCAAAGGCAGTTTCAGCACATAGAATGGGTGCCTGTGTTTCTCTTAAAACTGTATAATCAATAGCATATTACATCTTGTACTTCTGTCAGTGCTCAATGTTTCCATGAAGATATACAGTAGTTTCAGTGAACGTGACTAATAACAAAATTGTAGTTTCTGGATAATTGCTGAGGGCTTTGTAATGTTTGTCTGGTTCATGAAATAAACAACAAAATAAAGTAAACAAACAACTGCTGTCTTATACTCTATTTGAATTAAATTGACAGTATTTTCAACAAGGTTATGATGGCCGCATTCTTTGAAAGATGCTCTTAGAAATCTGTGCCATTCGCCATGGTGGCAGGAGGAGAAACTTTTCTTAAACGACAAAGAAAGATTTACATATTTGGCTTCCTACTCTGTTAAGTGTGAAAATTCTTTTTTTTTGTAAAGGAATACTTGAATTCTGAAAAGGGCATATGGCTAGTTCGATTTTTACCAAACTTCCAAAAAGATGCTCCAAATTGAGCATTATTCTGTTAACCCAGGGATTAAAAATGAAACCGTGTGAGTTGGTAAATAAATTACATTAGTATAAATTATTTAGATAAATAGAGCTGGAGATATTACTTCCTGAGCTTTGGTAATTTTTAAATTAAAAAGCTTATTTTTCTTAAACTGTTTGAAACAAAATGAAATTTCACACATGATATCCTTCTTCTTCTTCTTCTTCTTTTTCTTTTTTTTTTTTTAAAGAATACCACATACATCTTGGTTTTAAACAAAACCACCACTGGTCCTCATAGAAAGAACAGAGAAAGCATGAACACTGTTACCCTTAAGGGGAAAATAAGCTCAAGAATGGAAATGTTTTTCAACTTCACGATGGATTATGTTTTTAATAGTTTTGCCACAACAAAGCATTTTATTGAAATCACTGCTCTGTGCCAGATCAGGGCACATACACCATTATTTTAATAAGCTTTAACGGGAACCCACATTCCCAGATGAGGGAATCGGGTTTTTTGAGCTTTCTGGTTGGGGTGGTCAGGGGTGAGGATAGCTTACTTGTTTTTCAAAAGCAGTTGGCACCAGCCGCCTCAACTCGGATAAGCTGTTATTTATCCGATCTCGACGCCTTTTCTCTATTATCTATCCCAAAGAAAGCAAAACAAACGTTTATGAATACACAAATGATAAAATTACTCAGAATGAAAAAACACACAACTGTTACACATTAGGCTGCATAACATGAAATAAAAAGGGGGGAAAAAATCACATACCCCTCTCCTTTTCTTTCTCGCCATAATCTGAGACGTTGTTGTTGGAGAATTCGATCTAATCACAGAGCTAGAACTTTGCCTAGGAAATAGGAAGAGTATGTCAGGTGCTCTATTAACATAACAATAGTTTCTTCTGAGTGCTTGATGCCACCCATTAAATATTGAGAGTGATTTCGCAGTTGAGGTCTGTGTTGCTTTATTCTTAATTCTTGCTTTTACTCTTTACATACTTTGCTTTCAGCCTATATCTCTTTTCAAGTAGGAATGAATGGTGGCTTAAAAAAAGAGAAGTTTTAATGTGTAATGTAGATGCCAAATCCATTGGCAAAAACATCCCTACACTTTTATTAAGTTTCCTAGTAAAATAATGATGGGCGGTCAGGGTGAGAAATTAAATATTAGTACTTCCTAGTGCCGCTCGTAAATGTTTCTTAAAACTCAACTTATCTCTAGCATCCTCCTCCTCTTTCTGGTCAGACCGACTGAACAAAACAAAGCTATTTTAAAATAAAGGCCATGTTTAGCACCATTACCAAACAGATATACGATCGTCACATGTCACACTGTTGTCTCTAGATGCAATCTTTAAAATAAACACAAGTTATCTTACTATTTCAATTAGCCATATCTTACAACGGGAAAAAAATGACAAATTTAATGTTTTGTATACTAATCTTCCAAAAGAATGCTCCAAAGTAAAAATGCCTCTGATAGGAACATTGAAATCAGATCCACTACCAGGTAAAGGTTTTACTTTGAAAGTGAAACTTGTACCTTTGCGCCCTCAACCTAAGCCTAAACCTCTAGGAGCAGCAACTCGTCTTGAGTTTCCCAATGAAAAGGTATTTTATACTGAGAATTCAATCAAATCATTATTTTGCCACTTAGCACTTTCACCATCCTTTCTAGTTTGTATCTATTACTCTTCATAACTCATGGGTTCTATAATTCTTCATATTCTCAGATTTTTCCAGCATTCCTGCTATTTGTCCTTCCATCTTGGAAATGTTGCACGGATCAGGTTGTTATTACTTCATCTTCTCACGTCTGGATCTTATTTCTGAATGAACTGTCTTCCTCCTTCCCACCCATTCTCAACTGGCTTCGCCTTTCACAGGACATCTTCTGTTTTTCTGTTCTTTTTAAAGATGACCAACACTTTAATCATTGGAAGATACTTTGTAAGCAACGTTTGGTGTAAATATCTTTGCTCCTGCTGATAATCAGGCTTTGGTTTGTATGTATTAGAAGAACAGCATTGAAAGGGGGGGGGGGGGGGGAGACACAAAACAACAGTATTGAAAGTTTTCCAAAAGATAGGAAGAATTTTGCTCTCTGAGTGACAGTTGCAGATAAATAATGAAGGTGCTTCTGGGGGTTGCCAATTAGAAGCAATTATCATTTGAGCCGCCTGGCACTAAAATGTCTCGGTAATCTCCCCCTGTCACTGGAAAGTGGAGGTCTGGCTTCACTTTTCAAGTAGGAATGAATGGTGATCACGGCCCCGATCTTTTCCAGACCTAAGAACCAGTAATCAAAAGAAATAAATGCCCGAATCGATGCTTCTTATATCTGTACCTCACTCCTCTACTGTCAGCCAAGACACACATGGCCAACCTGGAGAGCGCAACCCACTTAGCCGGGACATTGCAAGTCGCTTTAATTTCACCGTAAAGCAACTTATCTTTTTTAGTCTCTTTAAAAACATCCTTTTTTTCCCCTTCTTTGCTCTTGGCCCATTTCGGCAGGGTCAGTGTCGGGGGACCTGTTGGCCCGCCGGCCTCGTGCTGACAGCCGGGCAGCATCCCCGGGCGCGTCCCGGTCCGCTGCGCTCCCCCACTGGGGTGCAAACCGACACCCCTCGCCCCACTCCACGCACGTCCCTGAGTTTCTCCTGCAAAACTTTCCCCTCTTCGTTAGGACGACGCGGAAAAGGAGCCTCGAGATCGCCCAGGAGCCGTCCTACACAAAGCTCCCCCCGCCCCGACGCCCCGGGCTCCGGGCAGCGCCCGCCGCGCGCGTGCTCACCCGGAGTAATTGTTCTCGCTGCCCACGTCGATGGTCTCGTCCAGGTCGCTCTCCGAGGTGGTCTCCTCGCAAGGGCGCTTCATCGCGGCGGAGACGGCGCGGGGCGCAGCCCGGCCGGGCACACGGGTGCGAAGCGCGCGCGGCCCAGCGACCTCCCCGCCGGCCTCCTCCTCCTCCTCCTCCTCCTCCTCGCCCCCCTCCCCGGGCCCGGCAGGCGCGGCTCCCGCTGCGGCGGCGCTGGCGGCTCCTCCGGGCTGTTTCCCACGCCGCAGCCCGGCTCCGCGGCAAGACCGGCGCCGGGCACGCCCCCCCGGCGGGCGGGGCCGGGGCGCACGCCTCCCTCCCGCGGGGCCCCCGGCTCCCCGGCGGGCCCCGCCCCCTCGGGCTCGGCGCGGCCCGCGATTGGCTGGGGCGGGGGGGGTGGGGCCGCCCGCGCCCGCGCCCGCCTCCCGGCCGGGGCCGAAGCGTGGGAACCGGCTTCACACCTGGGGCGGCGGCGCTGCGCGCGGGAGGGCCGGGCTGCCGATCGCTCGCTGGGGACGCGCGCGGACACGGGCGCGGGCGCCGCGAGGGCCGGCCGGTGCGGGGCGGGCTCGTGGGCCGCGGGCTTTGGCCTTCCTTCCCCCGCAACCCACCCCCGCCGTCCGCCGGGGCAGCTTCAGCCTCGGTTTGGGTGGAAAGCACAACCCCAGCGCGTGGCCCGGGGTGAGCGCGCGGGTGTGTCGTGGGGAGGCGCCTGCCGCGGCTTCTCCCCGCCGTTCCACTCGGCAGTCCCTGGGCAGGACCCAAACTGCTTACCGGCTGACCCTGGCGGTCACATTTGCCCTCTGGGGTTTTTTTATTTTATTTTATTTTATTTTATTTTATTTTATTTTATTTTATTTTATTTTATTTTTTAAACCTTAAATCAAAGTTATTTTTCTCCCCGGCAACTCCCGAGGCTGCTTCTGCGGCCTCTGGGCTGCGGACAGATAAGGACGTGAGTTTCCCCGACCGGGTACCGAACCCCTGACGGTCGGGATGGTCTGAGGTTGCCCTCCCCCCCCTCCCCCACCCACGATTTTCGATTTGCTGCTGTAAGTCAGTTATTTCCATTCTCTCCCCCCCTCCCCTCCACTGGGACTGCGGATAGTGGATCCCGCCGAGTAAACCGTGCCTGGAGTCGTGTTTTTTATTTTGGTGGCCGGAAGGACTAGGGCGTAAAATGCGGGTATTTCAGGACACAATTTTAGTCGTTTTTTCAAGTTCGAGTTTTCCCGGGCTCGGATGTATTCACATAAACCGTAATTCCCACTCTCCCTGCTCATGTGCGGGTCGCAGCGGTGGGTTTCATTAGAATCCGGGACATGGGGAAACCGCTCTGGAAACTGAATTTGTTTTCTAAATTTTGTTTTCAAATTCGTGTCCATTATTTTTTTTTTAAAGTGCATTGGGCACCGCGGGTGGTAGAATCTCTGGATGTGCTTTTAAAACATGTTTCCAGGCGTCTCTTTCGGTGCTCCGATGGTTGAACCGGTGCGTCTCCGCGGATGCGTCTCCGCGGGGCAGCCGGCCGGTCTGCTCGCCCCGGAGCCGCGGGGCCGGGGGCCGGGGGCCGGCCGGCCGGAGACTCTGCTCGTGGCGCCGGACAGCTCGGTGCTTGGCGGCTAAAAGCCTCCGGGAAAGAGGCATCTGTCAGTCCCCACCACCTCTCGCCGGGTCCGAGCCATTTTTTCCCTGGGGATCCGCTGGGGCGTCCCTGGGACTGGCTCTCCCCCTCCCCTGCCCCGGCGCCGGCGGGAGGAGAGAAGGAGAGGACGCGGGGAAGACCGGGCCGGCGGGGCGGGGGAGCTGGGCAGGACCTGCAGCCGGCAGCGCGCTAAGCTCTCATTAAACCCAAACCCCTTCCCCACACCTCCCTCCTCCCCCCCTCCGCATCCCCGCCGCGGGGCCTGCAGCCCGTGTGAACGGAAACCCGACCCGTCCCATCCCGACTTCGGAAACTCAACCCCGGGCGCAGCGCGCAGGCGGCGGGGCCGGCCCGGGTCAGCTCGGGACTGCGGGGCCTCCGGGGCGGCGACACCTCCCCCCGCCCCCCGCCGGGCTGTGGGTTCAGGGCGGGTCCGGCCTCCGCCCGCTCCGCACCCGAGTCCCCGGCGCGCGGCGGAGCCCAGCGGCCGCCGCCCGCCCGCCGCGGCCTCCCAGGACGCCGGCCCCCCCCTCGCGGCCCCGAGGAGAGCGGGGCGCCCGCGGGAGGGGCCGGGGCCGTGGCCGCTGCGCTCAGGCCGCGGCGGGACCGCCGCGCGAACTCGACCTTCAGGGCTCCCAGCCGCTGCTTCTCCTGAAAGCGGGTGCCCGCAGGTGCAGTGAACGCTCCCCGCCGAGCAAATTAGCGGTCACTTTCCAACGTCAAAACTTGAGGCAGTCGCTGAAAAAAGAGAAAAGAAAAGAAAAGAAAAGAAAAGAAAAGAAAAGAAAAGAAGTTTTTCCTCTTTTCCCCTCCCCTCCCCAACCACCACCAACATACTGGTGTATTTAATTGCAATAACTGAGAAAAATTGCAAATAGGGAAAAGGTTTACTTGCAATAAAGTATCAATGGGGTATACTTTCCCCTTATTTTTCTTAGTAGTCTTAACTGCTTTAACTATCAGGGACGTTCGAAATATATATATAAATTATATATATAATTTATATATATAATTTATATATTTTCAAATGTCACTATATATATATATATATATATATATATATATATATATATATATATATATATATATATATATCAGGGACGTTCGAAAAGTACATATGGATTTGATGTCGCCTAAAATATTTTATAAGCAAAGAGGATCGTATTCTACAAGCGTCTAGACCGTTCTTGGTTGGTACATGGTAAGCGGCATGTAAGTCTGTTACACAGACGAACGCATAGGGCAAAAGACATGGGTGCTTTGAACACCATGAAATGATTAATATGCTCGCTCACCCACAAAATACTTAACCGCGATCAGGCAGCGCGGAAAGTTTATCCATTAGGCTTTTATTCCCCTGGAGGAGTCCATCCGCCTGGCCCCTTGTTCGGCTCCTCGTCTGGTCTGTCTCCCCCTGCGAGCGCCTCCCGGGCCCGAGGGAGAAGCAGGGAGGAAACTCCAAAGCGCCCAGCAGAAGAGCGGTCAGAACGGCCTGGGGTGCAGGGGGGCTGAGAGAGGGCGTGGAGGGGGCGGGGAGTGTGTAAGCGGACAGAAAGAAGGGAGAAGATGAGGGAACCGAGGGGTTTCCAGCCTCCCGCCCCTGAGTCACCTCCTTCTCAGCGAAAGCTGGACGCGGCTCCCTCAGCGCCCGGGCAGGAGAAAAGACGTCTGTCCGCGCGGAGTGCAACCCCGCTTCTTGCCTCTTCAGAGATTTGTACAGTGAGATAATCACAGCGAAAGATACGAGGGACTTTTCTAGAAACGAAATGACATTAAAAGAAAGCGCAGGATTAGGGACCCAAAAGGGAATGAGGGAGGAGGGGAGACTTGGGCGCCTTCCCGAAATGGGTCATCTCGCGGGTGTTTTTTGTGTTTAATGTGATTTAACTCAAGGGTGTGAGAGCGAGGTGTCGAGTGCCAAGATCTGGAAACATCTGACTCTCAATGGCTCTTCTCCCTCCCGTGTAATACAATAAAGTTACGGTTTCTGCACCTGTGTTCTTAAGTTTGGCGATCTTGACCAAAGCTTATTTTTGTCCCACACATTTGAGTTCTGTTGCACAAATTACCCCAGTTCTAAAATTCCCCTTGCAGCATTTTGGGAACACACGTGGGGTCCTTTAACATTCTCCTTGATTTGCTTTTTTCTTCATCAGCGTGCTTTGATTTTTCAAGATCAGTGGTCACATTTCATTTGTGGCTTCTCTGAGTCCTTTGAGGCACAGCTCCCAATTACTTAAAAAAGTTTCTGGTCATTCCAGTATTTGGATTCTTTTAGAAAGTCACCAAGGCATGACACCACTTAAAAAAAAAAAGTCTTAGGTTAGTTTCTCAGTGAAACACAGGCAGCTCTGCTATTTTTTTTTTTTTAATTGTTAGTCTAAGAAGCCTCAATGCGCATACTTCCTATTCAGCCCCAGACTTTGCCTTATCTGAAATATGACAATTGCTACACAGTTTTTGGTGCAAAGAGAAGACAAGAAGGTTGCCCTGAGATGTACTGTTCTATTTTCAATGGCTGGGGCAGACAGCACCCACCATGCATCTGTAGGCAGTCTTGCCGGGCCGCTTCCTTAACCACGAGGCTGTTGTGAGCCAGCAACACGTTCAAGTGTGTATGAGCACACTGCACCCTGAGAGTGGAGGCCAAGGCAAAATCCTTGTAAATTCCAATACCTTTCTCAGCACCAAGCTGGCACCACGCAGGCCAACCTGAGGTCACCGTGTGACACATATTTTCAAGCCAGTAGAGCAAAACAGAGCTGAAAACAAGGGCAAACGGAGGCCCTCCAACCTTGAAGTCATCTACGAAAGGGAACTGCGTTACCAGATAACAATTATTCTTGCCTGGTCAGCCACACAAAGGGCGGCGTATTTCTTGGCTTGCTCCAATAGGTGCTACTTATTTGTTTCATCAGAAGTTCCAAAGTAGGAAATCTAAGACCCAGAGCCCCCTTTCTGGGAGGTTAGAATGTTTAAATCGATCTCTGTTATTAGGGGGCGATTTATGTAAGAGCTTTTATTTCATGAGTGGTGTTCTTGGTGCTCAGCGCAGGCCCAAGGATGAAGCTGCTTTTATTGCAGGAACTTGAGAAGAAGATTGCATAGTTAAGTAACCAGTTTTCCTACAAGCAGCCGTCAAAACACTCCCTATTTTAACTTCCTCCTTGTGAGGGTTAAATTGATGTTTGCACGCTTTTCTTTTAAGGAATTAAAAAAACAACAACAACCTTCCAATTTCTTCACTTTGGTTTGATTGTCAACTGCCCCTATCCCCGTCCCCAGGATACAGTTAGATCTATCCATTTTTCTCATGAAAATCATCTTTTAAAATGAACTACAACCCGGGCCAGTTTTGCTCAGTGGATAGAGTGTTGGCCTGCAGATTCAAGGATCCCGCATTCAATTCTGGTCAAGGGCACATGCCCGGGTAGTGGGCTTCGTCCCCAGTAGGGGGCATGAAGGAGGAAGCCCATCAATGATTCCCTCTCATCATTGATGTTTCTATCTCTCCCTCTCCCTTCTCTCTGAAATCAATAAAAATATATTTAAAAAATAAAATGTACTACATTCCCATCTTCTAGAAGGGAATAACATATAGTGGATGCACAATAAATGGTTTGGAATAAACTTCTTGTTGAAATTAATGAGCTT